AGGGCAATATTTAGCATAAAGTGAAATGATTTAAATTTTTGTTGAAAAGAATTCAAACACACTGTAGCCATCCGGTGTTGTAGAGAATGGAGGAAAAATACCTACTACCGGTCTTCAAAAAGAATGGTTATCCACAAACTTTCATCAAAAAGTGTTTAAAGTTGAATCAAAACACCAACAAAGAACCATCATCAAAGACCACAAGAAAATTCATCCTAACATACATGAGAAATATCTCTGAAATAACAGCTAGAATACTGAAACCGTTTGATATAGATATAGCACACAAACCAGTCAAATCGCTTAATTCGATATTATGCAAACCGAAAGATCCAACAGAAAAAGGGGATAAAATTAATACCATTTACAAAATAAATTGTATGAACTGTAACAAGCATTACATCGTTGGCCAAAGTGGGCGTCTCCTTCGAATTACAATCCAAGAACACAAATCAGCCGTGAAAACACACGATATATGTTCTTTAGTATCGATGCATATCGACAATTATAGTCATCAATTTGATTGAGATAATGTCAAAATCTTAGGCAGAGGAAACACGAAAACTGCAGTCAGGGAATTCCTAGAAGCCTGGTACTCAAACGAAAATGCAGTTAACAAGCACGTTAATATAGACGAAATATACCAACTAATAAAAAGTAAATCAGGTGACCAGAAAGTTTAAAATCCAAGTCAATAGAAAATGGTCAATACATATGTAATGCAGATGGTTACCGGGAGACGCAATTATATCACTCATGAAGAAATTTAAACCATTTCACTTTATGCTAAATATTGCGCTGAAAGAGGATGTTGTCCAGAAGGACGACGGAAGCTCCGCAACTAAACCAACCAACTCACAGAGCACTAGTAATTGCAAATCATCCACCTGAGCTACAAAAATTCTCTATTATATCAAAGTGATATTTTAATGGGAATGATGATGAGTAACGACTGAGCCTGAAACGAAAACTTAGGTAGCTACTGCAAGATGCAAATAATCGGCGTCTGAATTACTAGCCTTGCACTCAACACACAATAACTCACTACTTATAATATAATTCATCACAGACTAAAAGTTCTAGGTGTTCATGAAACTAAGACAATAATTAGTTGCGATGCTATATACTACTGAATGAGTAATTTAAGTAGTTGAAAACCAATCACGCCATAAAGTAGTTTTTTGCTAGCCAGGTTGAATTTGACTTAACTTAGCTCACTGAAGAAAACAGAATTAAGCAAACGACTGGCGAGCTTAGCTGCAAACCAACAAAATGTCTGTTCAGGGTTCAAATCACTTCGGTCTGCTTTACAAACACCACATTTTGACGTGAGAGTTCCCCAACTACCCATTGTGGAACCACACTAGTTTTCTTATTGACTTTTATAGCTTTTGCCATGTTTAACAGTAGTCACTGCGAGGTGATAATGTCATAAATTCTTCCTCTGTTTCGATCCGACATCTACCAGCACTGTATTATTGACTTAGTCACCGCTTCACCTAACCAAATTATTGCGTGTTCACAGTTACGTAAGGGTAAATTCCTCTAAGTACAGACTATATCACTAACTCCATAGGAGCATATTAATATGTGTGTAAAACTTGGTCACTGTGGTAGTAAGTAATTCCATATTAGTTTGTTTATTAAGATATATCACACAGTCAGTGAGACAGTATTATTATATACTGGATGACACAGTTTTGAACAAAATTTATTGCTGTTCATAATCATTTCATCAATTATAACCACACAACTTCCAGACTTGAGTTTTATAGTGGAGCTGTTAAAACAAAACAACTTAGTTTATCTAATACCCTGCCTGTGATGATTGTCAGGTCAAATACATAGGTCAAACTAGTAGAACAGGGGCAGTCAGACTAGCGGAGCAAAAAACAACCTAGCAAAATCTAGATTAGTTGACCCAAATGAGATAAGAAGTCTGGAGAATAGTTCAGCTATAGCACTCACTACATGCAATTACACACAACCATACAATAGGCTGGATGGGTTAAGATGACGGTTTTAAAATCTAATGTAAGAGTGTGGAGGGAGAGATTAATGACAACGGAAGCTTTGTTTATCGAATCAACTGAGAGTGGATATGTATAGTAGGAATGATTCAACACCTGTCCAGTCGGATATCTGGAAAATTCTACTACTCCTAGAAGACAAATGGGAGAGAACAAATAAAACTATAAGACTCAAGTTTCGAAGTCGTGTGATTGTAATTGATGAAATGATTATGAACAATAACAGATTGTGTTCGAAACTGTGTCATCCAGTAAACTGTAATACTGTTTCACTGACTGTGTGTGATACATCTAATAAACAAACTAATATGGAATTCATAGGAGCAGTTGAATTTGTGTAAACATACTGATATGGCCACTATGGGTAGTTTGTAAATTGTACCTTGTGTTAGTGAGACATCTCGTTAAAATGCTGGAGCTTCAAACTTTCTTCCAATAGACATACCCAACCTTATACCATGTATATCACTAGCTATACTGTCCTTAGAGATTTACTCTTAGGTATAGTTTCTTTATGCTTACGCATTAGTATCTCGTCACCAACACAAGCAGTCATTAGATCAGGAGTCTTAATCCATGACAAAGGCAGTGAGTTATATTTCGTCCAACCCGTCTAGTTTGCATGAAAATAATTCTCCATGTAGACCTTTCCCTCATTTTATCGAAAAGAATATATAGGGGAGAAATTTAGCAAAGTTCATCCAGCTGTAATTCTTACTAAAGAAGAAGGTACAGAATGACTCGATCTCGTTTTCGGATGTTCTAATGACAATACGAATAGTTGGGAGCTTACACCGTAAACCTACATCAAGTGAACAATATATTCGCTTTCTGATTTTTACCCCTTTAAAATACGAACGAAATTTGGTTAGATGTCCAGTTCGTCCTCCTTCATGGCTGTAAGACCTAGCCATTGAGAGTGGAGGATATGAAAAGGCTAGCTAGCTAGGTATCTTTGATCATAGGTGCCTATGTTCTATCCTCCCGTGTGAAGTGGTATTATAGGGTGAGCAATATTGAGGTTAGGCGTGAGTCGAGTGCCAGGTAAGGAGGGAGGGGAAATCAATCGATGACGCTGTGAAGCAGCTGCATAGATTGAGATGGTTAGGACATGTGCTATGCATGCCTAGCCTAGCCATCGACTTCCTCGACAGATGGGCAATGTTAGTTGACATAGGATGGATCAGGTTGAAAAAGTGTTAGCCAGTGGTGGTCAAACCAAAACATGACTTCATCGGTCAATGAAATAAATCCGCAATAGTTAGTTTAAACCAGCCAGCCATTCACTTAGGAGGTGTAGACTTCGTGAATGGCTAGTTGGGTCCTCGGGACGGTAAAAACCAATGAAGGCTGGAGACAGTCGGTGATATGGCTCAAAATCGTCATTGTCAGTGGCTGGCTAGCGCAGATGCATCCACTCCTTGTGACTTATAATACTACCCAATAAAACTATATTGTTCTTCGGTATTACTATTCCTTTTGTCCCATATCCCTATCTACTGTCTCTATTTTGCATTTCTTCTACTTTCTTCTCTTGCTTTGTGTGCTACATGGAGGGAGTGTGGCGACTCGAACTGCTGCACATCGGTATAAAGTTCTATGTTGAATCCAGTAAGATGTTTAATTCACTGTACTAGAGTTACTTGCTTGGACGAATTGTCCAACGAAGAACTCTGCCACATTCATGGTCTGCTAAATAGAAACGGGTATCCGATGTAATTTTTAAATGAACACATGAATTTATCAAGCACAAAGTTCAGAGAGCCTACAGTCCCGAAAATATTAGTGTTTCTATGATCGCAATTAACGGGGGAAACTAAAAGCGAGATTGCATCACAACTCCTGAGAAGGGCCTTTATAACGACTTTTACAGTAGCCAAGTTATACTGTTTATTCACTAGCCAGTCAATACTTACTTTACGAAATAATTCACACTACCTAATTCCTCCTCTTCCTTTTGTTTTTACCAGTCAAACTTCTCCTATGGAGCTAGTTATATTTGACGTACGATCAGGCAAGCTCATCATTGAATTTCTGAGCATCTTCCATCTTCGTCACGCATAACACCGAATAAGACGACACATAGTACATCTTGTCGATACTGGACATCAAGTAGACACTGACAAAGCTTTCAAAGTTACTTATCGTATTTCAACCAACCTTCCGCAAACTACTCTTCGAGTACGACTTTCACATACGGTAGGGTCAAGCTAAATTTATCAGAACAAGCCAAACTTGTGTGTCTGGGAGAGATTTGTGTATCCCCGTCGTTTGACATGGCCGTATATTAGTCCTAGTCATCACTGTTTCACAAATTTCTTGATTCTGGAATAACGAATAAACTGACGGTGAATTCCGCAATTATCCACACCTCTCCCTGAAAATTTAAATATCTTGTTACTAACACCTACTAATTAATTGCCTTGATGATTTCTAATCTCTAATTTTCACCACTCCTATACCCCCCCCCAAAAAAAACTGATAATTCTTATAGACTAACACGTAGGCGACGGCCACGTAGGGAGGTGTAGACTACGTGATTGGTTGGGGTCTTCGGGACGGTAAACACCAATGATGGCTGGAGACAGTCGGTGATATGGCTCAAAATCGTCATTGTCAATGGCTGGCGCAGATGCATCCACTCCTTGTGACTCATAATACCCAATGAAACCATATTGCTCTTTGTTATTACTATTCCTTTTGTCTCATATCCCTGTCTACTGTCTCTATTTTGCATTTCTTCTACTTTATTCTCTTGCTTTGTGTGCTACAAGGAGGAAGTGTAGCGACTTGAACTGCTGCACATCGGTGCAAAGTTTTATAATGTAACTCAATCAGTTGAAAATATTATCTGAACAACTGATAATCAATTCTAGAGAATTAATTCTCCAGTTTCAAACAAACAATGACTAAGCTAGTGTTTGAAACAATTCTGAGAACTATTTGTCCACCGTTTCAACAATATACATTTTTTGTATTTCAGTAATAAAGATAGTACAGAGTATTTGACATGGTTGTGCAATGTTAACATTAAACATCATCAATAATAATAATAATGATCACATAGTTACAAAAAAGATGTAAAAAATAAGTAAAGAACATTACCCATAATAGACTTGTTCGGAGAAAAGAGAGAAAGACAAACAAAATAGAAGAGAAAACACAGAATGACTACGTTAGCACATATAAATCAAACAAGAATAAATGCATAAATACATCAAGTTGACCTGAAATATCAAGTTGCCATGATTAATTTCTTAAAATGCTAAGTTATTCAAAATATTGTCGACTAGTGCTTTTTAGCTTTCTTTAACTTTTTACCTCGATTTACAATATTTGGATGACTAGATACACCAGTGTCGTTGTTAGAATAAAACATTGCAGAGAATATAAAAATCACTTGAATAATAGCAGCTAAAACTAAAAACCAATGTATAAAAATATCAAGAAGGGTGTCTTCTGGTGGAGAAGGGAATGACTCTTCATCAACAGACATTGTTGATGAATCCAGTTGACTTGACATTTAAGTAAACACTAAGCTTCCACTATCCAAATGACATTAATAGTGAATACTTCTACATGTAAAAGACATGATTATTTGCTTTGGATTACGCGGAGTTCTCCCTAAAATGTAAGACAGATGAAAATATATATGTAAAAGGTTAGTTATAAAGTAGTAACTGTAGAATCACAATTGTTTAAATCACAAAATATAACCACAAGTCACACGGCCTATTGCACTTAGGAAGTAGTTTTCTGACAGTGGTGAGTATAGATCAGCCATGAAGGGATAAACGTTTAAAAATGCAGCTAGTGAACAGAACTAACACAACGTGTGTTGAGTTGAAACTGGATATACCAAGAAGTGACGACACGGCAGCCAATTCGATAGCAAGATTGTTAGATCATAGCTCATTTGTTCTCTGTAGGTAATTAACAGGAAATTTAGATTTTTTCCCTAATTATCAGATATCTGACCCAAAGTTTTCAGTTTCTACTGAGGCTTTGAATACTTTATTATTTGCGATACTACTCTTATTTTCCGACACAACTGCTAATTCGATAATAAGATTGTTAAATCGAAGCCCATTTGTATTGCATAGATAATTAACAGGAAACTTAGATTTTTTTTCCTACTCACCAGATATCTGACCCACAGTTTACAGTTTCTATTGAGGCTTTGAATACCCTATTATTTGTGATCCTACTTTTATTTTCGTAGTGGGACCGTATATTTTTCCGAATATAGTTTTTTCATCAGTCATTCAATATTAATGTCTTATTTATTTGTTTGATTTCATCATTTAAATCTTTTGACTTACTTGTAAGGTAACAGCGTCGACTATATAAGGCTTACGGCCCTGTGTATCAAATATGCATTATGGGTAAAGTAGTTCAATGTATAAACTTGTAAATATATTTTTTATTGTTTACAAATGCAAACTTTTGAAGTTTCACTTTCTTTTGAAGTGAATATACTCTTGTGTTATGAGAAGACTGTAAAGTGTACGTGACAAGGTGTGTAGATATGCAGTTGTCATATCCGCTATCTGATATGTGAGGTGGGGCACATTGCAGAAACACATGAGAAACCTTTGGATCTAATACAGAAAGTGAATCATTTACAGGGCATTATATCCCACTTATTGAAGTGGACCCGGACGCTTTGCCAACTGAGTACCCATGTGTACACAATAGTGTACAAAAATTGTGTGGAAATCGAAAGATACACTGACTGTAGAAGGAGAAAAAGTCTCTGGTTACTGCTTTTGATTTATATCAGAGAAAAGTGTTCTGACTCGAATATGAATAGTTATTTCCGTCTCTATATAGTCTTATATAAGACCAAAACACCACAGTAAATATGGGGAATACCAATCGAAACACACTAGTATTCATTAATCATACTCCTTAATATTTTACAACAAACACACAGAGCCTATTTTCGTATAAAAATCTCAAATAGTTACCAACACACACCAATCACACTGACAAAATGCATCAAAGTGTCCTAACCTTGAAGTGACGCTACAAGTCAAAAAACCGCTAAATTGATATCTAATATTCAATATCACTTTAATAATCTAGTATATAGCGTCCAGACTTCTATGAATTTTATTTCTAATAATAGAACAGTGCTCGAAATTCTCGGAGATTTTCATTGGGCACTGGTGCTATCTGCAATCCGTGGCTTTGGTAGACTGTCTGTGTGAAACCACTTCGCTGCTATTATCGGAGTCAGTCCTTTTCTCCGATGCAGTCAAGTGTCTGGATAAAATAACGACAGTAGAAATGGCTGTAACAAATAATCAAAGTCAAATATATAAACTTAAGAAAATCGAAAGGATAGGCATGTGGACGAACAAGGAGAGTAGACGAAGAACTGAGACAGGAAAGACCGTATAATGGACGTGTTCATTTGAAAACCCACCCATGTGGTGTAGTCACATCAAGTTTTGTGCAAGGGTAAAGTATTTTTGCTGCCTATAATTATCAGCCCTTTGGTTAAATCTTACCAGCGTAGACTTGGCAAATATGGCTGCTGCTTAAGAGTACAAGCCATGGAAAACGCAAGACGAAGGAAGAGGGAACAATGGTCTTTTCCCTCTGATGCGAGATTCCTCTTGGACTGACTACACAGCACAATCTCTTTTCTTGAGTTGTTCTGGTTACTTATACTCTTGAATGTAGTGATTAGGCTGCAGCTAGGTATAAAGATATCTAACTTCCGGAACCCTTTGTAAAATGGTTTATTAAGAAGGTCAAGGTGCTTTATGTACTCAACTTGCGTCCCTCGAGTTTGAGAGATATTCCAATTATCGGTGCTCAGTACAACAAAGTACTTGAGCCTGCCCTTAGGCAGTCTGGTTGTACCAAAACTTCAATCGCCTTCCAAATCTTTAAGTCGTAGGCATAAACAATCGCTGGGGGGTTCGAACCAGTGGTGAGTAATTAAGAAAATTTGCCCACTGGAAGAGAAATTGGTGAAACCACAGGGGCTAGACTCTGGAATTGCCGACTTCAAATCTCTCAAATACGACAAAGATTGGCTCTCTTCCACTACTTTGGCAGTTTGTCCGTGACATTGCAGTGCTGGAAAAGGATAAACAAGGGCCATCTGTTTTAGAACCTATCACAGGTTATTCTCATATCGCAACAAATTTTCTAGTTTGTGTTTTGGTAGTTTAGTTAAGCCCACTATACGCTTCATGTCCCACAAAACGGCAAGGCCATAATCTTCCTTCCTCGACGTGAATCAGCAGAAATTGTTGGTATTCGCCCGGGGTTTCTTGACAAGAACTGTTTGGACGGGCCTTCTGTCACTTGTATTCCTTGTGTTCCATCAGTTCCCTAGTACTATATATGCCTCATGATCGAGCCGCACCCTGTGAGACTTACCTCCTAAACTAGTCATTTTGTTTGGTGTTTAGTCTACTCCATGTAACTCGCCCGAATCGGGATCAATTTTTACAGCCTAAGGTTACCAAAAAGAATGGAGTTTCAACCTGTTGTGCAAACAATCTCCATAACCAGCTCCCAGTTTTCCTCAAATGACTGTGTTACCCGATGTGTTAGTCGTGTGGCATCCAATGAAGTTTATCTCATTTGGGTACAGTGGTCCATGCTATAACACTAGCGAATTCATGCTGCGACCTCTCTGTGCTTATAAAGAGCCAGTTACATTTCCTTGACGAAAGGGTCACTACAGCCCAGAAAGGCTTCTATTCAAGTCTATTCTACTTGTAAATGCTCACTCATCAACATACAACCAAAATTTGACTTTCCTGTGATATCACACAGTGTCATCACCTACGTTGATTCGACCCTACCGACTGCTTGTGGCAAGCTGGGATTGGAACTCCTCCGAGTAGTCGCGGGTTGTGCATTAAGGTGTAGGGCAATAAAGTCTGCGGCTATGATGATTACATAACAGATTAGGTTTTGTACCTTGGTGATGTTGTGGAGCAGGTGCTGGTTGTGTTTTGTCCCACATGAGGGGATTGATCACTGCCTCTAGATGAACACTTGGAGAAGGCGACAGTGAGATGTCACGTATTGATTCTGAGAGTTCACTGGAGGGTATGATGCTTCATTTGTTTGCATAGATATACTGCAACTACAACTCCTTCCTTACGATTATCGCTTAAACAGAACTATGTTGCCTACACTGACTTCACTGTGGGGGGGGGCATCTAGGTTTTTGTCATTACTGTTATTATTCTCCCGAGAAATCGTGAGTGAAGATTCCTATATGGGAACTTGTTGGTGAGCCTAGTATCCCCGCCTTGTTTTGAGGTGACTGGTGGACAGTATATTACTAAGTGCGGCGTCAGTGTTCGAATTATCAGATCGTTATCAGTTTGTTATAGCTTTTAGAAGTTTACGGAAGACACTTGGATGACCACGTTTATCACCCTCTTTCATGTTACATCACCGTAGTGCAACTGTGGTACTAGGGTGCACTGTTACTTCGGTTTATCGCTTTCTTGAGGTTGGCGGTCTATTCTAACGGCGTCCCCACTAACCCTACCTTTGGCCTTCTACCAGTGATAGAGCACTCTAACCAATTATTGTAAAGTTGGTTAAATTTACTGCAACCAATCAAGATGAGTCGATTAAACTAGGGTGAGTAGGCAAAGGGAGCCCGTAAATAGCAGTTGCACAAGACCCACTAAGTCCCATCTAGGGCGAAAGTATTACGGCTGCTCAGTAATTTTAGGGCGCTTTTCCTAGACGCTACGTATATCCAGCTCTGGAACGCCACGGACAACCACTGAGGTACTAGTTATCACAACTGCCACACTGTTCTTCTTACTGACCACTACCTGCAGGGTCCCATTCAAAATTTGGAAGACCACCAAGTTTAAAGAGGGTAAGGGGACACTTTCAAATTTATAATGACCTTTTTCAGAACTTGGCGTTGTCCTTAATGGAGGTGCTTTGTCTTGAGGTCCTGGTCAACCTGGCATAACCAACTCAGTTTGGCGGGCATGGTGTTATAGTGTACCTTGTATGTTTGAACTTTTGCTTTAACGAATTCACGTAATATAGCACCGCATCATCATTGTTTTCCGATGTGACTGCTCACATGTGGTTCGCTCCCTAGCTGTGCTATCATTAAGCGCAGTCTTCAAGCTTGCTACCCCAGCCAGTTAACAGATAAATTGTACAACACTTATTTATTAAGTTTGACATTTAATCTGTGGTAAAAATATAATTATCATCAAGGCACAAGCCTTTTTGCTTCGAGATCGTTAATCAGTACTTACACATGAGGTAGAGTACTAATTAGTGTATTAAGAGGAGAAGTCTTTAGTAAGTGCTGTTAATTAAGGCCTACCTTAAGTACAACCAGTCACTTACAATGCTTTCTCCGTGCTTACGTATATGTTTACCTGCTGGTCGTAGTCGAAAAATATCCTCCGTCCTAGAAGGCTGCAACTACACACTGACAGTCATAATAAGTTGGCGGTCGAACCAGTTATTCTCAGTCCTAACTACAGTCTTTGCTAGCTAACTGTCTCCTCTAAAGTCGGTATTCCCAACTGTCTCACAACGCGAGTATTATGTATGTCAGGGGATACAAATAATCTTTCTACAGTACTAACACGGAGGTATTTGGAGGTTTTATACAAGTGGATTGGATGAATTGAGTATTACTGGATTATCACTCTCGACCCAGTAACCTGGACTACCGATACTGAGCCTGTTAATAGCAGGAATTACATTAGAATAGGAACAGACCTTTGTCAACGACTGAAATGAAGACACCACCAATCAAAACAGTAATTCGATCGTCCAAACCATGAGATATATCTCAGGATCGGAACCATAGTGCGATGATGATTGCTTAGCTAGCTAGGCAAGACGCAAAACAACCGGAATAACCAAGACGTGAATTTTTTGGCACAAACCTTCGGCTTAACAATTCAACTTAAACGGTGAAGATAAGCATCCAATGCTAGCTAAAGAATGCTGTAGCCTAACAATTTTGAGGTATTATTTACCGCCACAGTAATAATGAAAGAAGGCAGGGGAACAATTATCCAACGAGATGAAAACAAAAAGCATCTTTGAACCGAATGAAAAGTATTTTTGGCTTTACTTCAAATCTTCAGGTTATTCAGCTTCACTATGTTCAAAAAGCAGACACACAAGTCTTGCTTACTTGACTGAGTGAGAAAGGTGCCGATGAAAATATTTCTGATGTTGTGGTAGTGGTTTTAGACAGCAGGGAGTTTGCCATGGAAGTAATAGTCAAAAGAAATTCGTCATTTAGAAGGAACAAAGTTTAAGGTGGATGATTTAAAAACATTTTTTTCGTGTTGGACAGAGAAGTTGACGCCAGTATTCTAAGCGCATCAGACGAATTTTCCCATCGGTGAGTCCTTACTTCATGTCCCTTAAACTCTATCACCCACGTCACTCGGTAGATTTAACAGAAGGGTAGGGCAATGTGCAAAAATGCACACATTCATATGAAAAGCAGTCCAGTTTAAGAAGACTGTGCTGGAAATACAATACTACTTATGATAGCACTTTACATTCTACCTTCCAGTCTCATACTCATATCTAACACTATGTGTGCGTCGGTGGCGCAGTGGTTAAGACTCTCACCGACCATGCACATGGTCCGGGATTCGATCCCCTGCCGACACACCCCATATCTATGGTCGGCCTGCAAAATTTGGGCTACCGATATCCCTACTGAAAATTCCATACTTGTACTGAAAATACGGTGTGGCGTCAAGCTGTAATCAAAATAAAAAAATAAAATGTCACTCATTTGAATTTGTCTGCTCGACCTATCTGTTTCGCCTCCATTCTTATAACACCGAATTTCCAGAGTGTTTCCATTTAAGCCGGAGGATTGTTTAGTAAGACCACATTTGAAAGCCTCAGCATCATCAATATGATACACTCCGTTAGAAAAATAAATGAAAGCCCACGCTGAGTTTAGCAGGGTTACAGCAGCTGAGAGGAGATATCTGCTGTACTGGAATCCCCTAAAAATCTGGGACAGTTCCACGCTTGCGTTA